GGTGATGGGAAACCCATGGGGATTACAATTGAGATGAAAAAAAAAATGTGAAAAATGATGTTAAAATAAACTTTTTAATAAAAAAAAAAAAAAGACAGGGTTTAACCAGTCACATGAGTCAGAAACACAAATAGAGACCCAGTCTACTGCTTTTAAAATTGCTTTTCTTTCTTTTTTAACCCAAGACTTCTTTTGATAAACATGAAAAGCTCACCTCCTACTACTTCTTAGAAAACCATCATTTTGTTGGTTTATCTTCTGAATAAATTAATTTTTTTCTCCTGGTTGAACACTGATTCTTCAGATCAGACCAGACACATACCAGAAACTCTATGAGGTAAAAGGTAAAGATTTATTTTAAATTCTTATGCCTATAGGTTAGTATGAGACTCCATATAATAGCCAACATGGCATGGAACTTTATAAAATGCTTTAATATACACCTTCTCATCTGATTCTCACAGCAGGTACTATTGAAGTATTATTTGCCTTCTGATTCTGTAGCTGGGAAGATCAAATGCAGAGGGTTTAAGTAACTTGTTCGAGGTCATAGCAGAACTCAAACCCAGATCTCCACTACTGCTTCCATTACTTCCTTACATGCTTTTCCAAAAGCTGAGATTTTAAATGTCTGCACCATCTCCATTTCTTTCCCAGAAATAATCTCCCATTAAAGATTAAAAAGCCACCAGGCCCTCCCTGGTGGAGCAGCGGGTTAAAGCACAGCACTGAGAAGCTAAAGCCACTTCCGCATGAGTTCGATTCCCGCCTGCCCCGGAGGTGACCACATGGCGGGGCAGACCCCTCCTGACCCGCCCGCTGCTCCCCTCAGCAGTGTACTTGGTCCATCTGCCTGTTCTGCTCCCCGCTCTGTCTCTGGTGAAACCTCTCGCCGCCCCTGAGCCTCTGACCTGTACCCCAGTTCTGTATGAATAAATAAATAAGTCTTTAAAAAAAAAAAAAAGATTAAAAAGCCACCATTCCATTAGTACAGTGGTTTTCCATCTTGCCTTC